GCAGCGCTCCCACCCTGCGCGCCAGGACCTGGAGGAGGATGCGGAGGATGGGACACCCGCCCACTTGCTCTCTCGCGCCCCCTCTACCTCCGGACCAAGCGAGGAGCGCGGCTTCTGCAGGGGAAGCTGGGGACTGCACTGCTTTAGCGCCCAGCTTCTGGGCCCGCAGGGGCACGGGAAGGATCGTGCTACCCTTTGCTCCTGGGATTTATCGGCGTGACGGCGGAGTAGTGCGTGAAGAGGGGGCGGAGTAGAGATAACGGATTCTGGCACCCTCCTATGAACTTGGGGAGTGGGAAACAGGGCGTTCCCCTGCCTTTGGCCACCGGCTGTAGCCTCCCACCTCCTGGGTTGTCCCCTTCCCTGGGAGAACCCTAAAGGACGCCCGCCCCTCATCGAGCCCATGTGCTAGGCCCTGCCACCGCCAGGTGAGTGCTGGGGATCTCAGTCCCGTCTTTTGAAAAGAGTTGGGGCTACAGGGGGTCTTGTTTTGGCATTGAGAACACCATACCAGGATTGGTGGTTGGGAGAGGGTCCAGACCCCCAAGATCTGGGTTCTCTCCAGCTACCAGGGGGGCCAGGCTGCAATCTCATCTTTTTGTTGTTGTTAATCCCCACCCGAGGATATTTTTTCCATTGATTTTTAGAGAGAGTGTGAGGGTTGGGAGGAAGGGAGAGAGAGAGAGAGAGAGAGAGAGAGAGAGAGAGAGAGAGAGAGAGAGAGAGAGAGAGAGAGAGAGAGAGAGAGAGAGAGAGAGAGAGAGAGAGAGAGAGAGAGAGAGAGAGAGAGAGAGAGAGAGAGAGAGAGAGAGAGAGAGAGAGAGAGAGAGAGAGAGAGAGAGAAAGAGAGAAAGAGAAACATCGATGTGAGAGATACATGGATTGGTTGCCTCCCACACTCACCCCTAGTCACGGAGTCTGGGATGAACCTGCAACCCAGATACCTGCCCTTGGCTGGGAATTGAATCTACCATACTTCAGTGCACCCGTCAACGCTCTAACCACTTAACACACTGACCAGGGCTGCAACTCCATCTTTTAAAAGGCTGCTCCCTAAGGAGATGGGGGCTTCCTGGAGCCAACCTGAGAGCCAGAGCGGGCTTATTTTAAAAGTGTGGTGCTTATAAGAGACAGGAGAGTTTGCTCCACTGGAGTCAGTATCTGATTTTAAAAAGCAAATCCACGATCTATTCTCTTCCTATCAGTAAGGGTCCAGGAAGTTTTCAATACGCAGCTTATATGCTTGAAGGATGTTCAGCTCAGGAACTCCAGTGAGGCTTTGGAGACTTTTATTTCAGGAGACTGGCCCACGGATGTCTGACTTAGGCTAGGTCTGTCATTCTGGAAAGAAAGGACCCTTCCTCCTGGCTGTCCAAGTCCTCAAACTTAGCATGCCCAAAGCCAGCAGCTTTGGAGACTTTTATTTCAGGAGACTGGCCCAAGGATGTCTGACTTAGGCTAGGTCTGTCATTCTGGAAAGAAAGGACCCTTCCTCCTGGCTGTCCAAGTCCTCAAACTTAGCATGCCCAAAGCCAGCAGCATTATCTCCCACCCCACTCCAAATTCCCTGAAATTATTAATGGCACCTTTTTATACTTGGCAACCCAATCTATTCCAATAAATCATTTATTCTTGTCTTATTTTTCCTCATCTAATCAATCACCAAATCCTTTGGCTCTGCATTTTAAAATGCCTTCCATTTATATAGCTTCTCTCCAACTCTGCCATGAATACTGTAGGTCCAGGTGCTCATCATCTCTCATCTGGACTACTGCAAAGCCTCTTAACCAGTTTCTATACCTCACCTCATCACCCTCCTCCATCATCTGCTGCCAGAATTATTACATTACTGCCAGAATGTAAATATGATATCTAATGCCTCTGCTCTCAGGAATTAAGTCCAAGCTCTTCAGCATGACCCTTCATGGGCTCTCTCAACCTAACCATCTCCACACTCTGAAAGCCAAACACTTACCCTAACAACCCTCAGCACACTGCACTGTTTCTTGGTGTGCTTCTGCACGTATTGTCTCATGTCCAGGAAGTCTCACCACCATCTTGTTCTCCTAGAAAACTATTCTCTTTTTTTTCCTCTTTAAAATTAAATCTTTAAAAAATATATATTTTTTAATTTCAGAGAAGAAGGGAGAGGGAGAGAGACAGAAACATCAATGATGAGAGAGAATCATTGTTCTGCTGCCTCCTGCACATCCCACACTGGGATTGAGCCTGAAACCCAGGCATGTGCCCTGACTGGGAAATGACCCCGTGACCTCCTGGTTCATAGGTTGATGCTCAACCAGTGAGCCACACCAGCCGGGCAATTAAATCTTTATTGTTGAAAGTATTACATATGTCCCCTTCTTCCCTCCATTGACCCCTTCTACCCCCCCCCACCCCGCCCCGCCCCAGGCTTTCACCACTCTATCGCCTATGTCCATGTAGAAAACTATTTTTTCCCCGAGGTTCAGCTCAGCATTATATCTCACCCCTCCCTTCTATTCCCATACACATACATGATGAGACTAATTCTTCCTCTTCCATGTTACCATGTACCTCATACTGTCCTTTAAGCAACTGTACTTTACTTTTAAGCAACTATACTTCAAGCACACTATACGTTAAGCATCAGACTTATACTGTTAGCCAGGCTGCATTAGACCCATCAGAACAGTCATCTTAACAGTGGGGACTATGTCCTATTAGTCTTTGGATTCCTATCCAAAGGGACATCTAACACGGTTCCTGGCATAGAATAATGAGGAGCAAATCTTTAGTGAACTGAAAATCAGCTCTTTTAAAGGCACAGCCCATCTTGTTGGCTCCTTCATTGTCCCCCTTTTCATTTCATAGATCACAGATCTTGTACATCGCTATAAAGAAGACCACTAACTCCACCCTCTCAGTTTTTAGTGGAAGAAATAGTCCCAGGGAGAAAAAGGGACTTAGTCAAGATCACACACAGCCAAGACTGTACTCAATCTTCTGTTTCTGAGACCAAAATAGTGGGGAAGAGCTTGTGCTCTGGGGTCAAGCAGAGCTAGGCTTCAATCCAATTTTTTTAACTTACTAACGTTGGAATGAGTCTATTTCACTCTCCAGGCCTGTTTCCTCACTCATATAGTGGAGGTAATAAGAGGGTCTACTACATAAAGTTGGTTTTTTTGCTTATTATGTACATATTCAACGAATATCCAATAGAATGGCCCCTCTGTGCCAAGCACAGTACTGGTCACTGGGTAAGACTGCAGTGAACCAAACTGACACTGTCTGCTCTCAAAGTTTATACTCTAGTTGGGAAGACAGCAGTAAACAAGCAGATGAATAGGTAACTAAACTAATTAGGGTGATATGTGTTCTGAAGGAAATAAACAGGATGAAATAATAGGGAATAATAGAAAGGGGAGAGGGTAGGTCTACTTGGATAAGGGAAGGCTACTATGAGGAGATAACATTTAAACTGAGAGGAAAAGGATTTGAAGGATGTAGATTATGTGAGATAAGTGTAGAGTGCTTAGAACAATGCCTGGTGCAGAGAAAGGACCAAAATTAAGGTTGAATATTATTGATATTTTACTTATACCAGTGATTTTCAATCTAAGAGCTGAGAATCTAAGTGGTGTGTAGTTATTGCACACTAAGACTATCTGTATGTTTAAAAATGTAATGCAGCCCTGTCTGGGTAGCTCAGTTGGTTAGAGCTTCAGCCAAATATGTCACAGTTTTGCTTTCAATCCCCTATTAGGGCCTCATAGAAGAATCAACCAATGAATGTATAAATAAGTGGAAACAAAACCTCTCTCTGTCCCTCTCTCTCTATCTCTCTCCACCCCTCTCTCTAAAATCAACTTAAAAAATTATTTGTAATGAAAATGCAATGCAACTTTTCATTAGTAGATACCACTGGGAGGAATAAAAATACATATATATTCTTGCCTTGGCCAAAGTAGTTAAGTGGTTAGAGCACTAGCCCTCACACCAAAAGGTCACAGGATCGATACCCGGTCAAGGGCACATACCTGGGTTGCAGGTTCAATACCCAGCCCCAGTCTGGGCATGTGCAGGAGGCAACAGATCAATGTGTCTCACATTGATGTTTCTCTCTCTCTCTCTCTCTCCCCTCCTCCCTTCTACTCTCTTTAAAAACAATAGAAAAATATCCTTGGGGGGAGGAATTTTCAAAAACACATATTTTTGCCCTGGCAGGTTTTGAGCATCAGCCTGCCCACTGAGGGGTTGATTCACAATCAAGGTCCCATACCAATCGATGTGTCTCTCTCCTCTCCTCTTCTCTCTCTCTCTCTCTCTCTCTCTCTCTCTCTCTCTCTCTCTCTCTCTCCTCCCACTCTCTCTAAAATAGGCAATGGGAAAAATATCTTCGTGTCATGATTTACCAAAAACAAACAAAACAAAACAAAAATCATTCTCTCTCTTTTTTTCCATTTTAAAGTATAACAAGACTGTCTAGGATGAAGAAGACTGAATCAAGGTGAAGAAGAGTGTCAAGATATGCTACCATTTTTGTCTTTTTAAAACATATATAAATATATAAATATTTGCAGAGCATAAATTACCTTTGAAAAGATAGCAGTAATTAAAACAATAGTTGGCTCTGGAAAGGGTACTGTGTGACTGAGGAATGGGGGTACAAGAAGGATACTTTTCATGGTACTCCCTTTT